CAAAAGACGGGGAGACCGCTGAGCTAGCTTACAAAAAAAAACAAAAACAAAAACTAGCACCGTGGCACATGCTGGAGAACAGGGATCAGGATCTAGCACTTGACTNAAAAACTAGCACCGTGGCACATGCTGGAGAACAGGGATCATGTTGTGAGGAGATTCCACTCCCTAGCACTTGACAGCTAAGTGGCAACTGTGACAGCAGGTCTGCTCCGCTCCTCAGGTTCCCTCCTTTTATTGTCTGGGTGTAATTGACTCTAGTTATCAGCAGTTGATGGACTCCTATTGGAGAGACAGGTAAAGAGAGATTGGGGAAGAGCGAGGGAGAGGGCAAAACAAAACCCTGCAAAGGGTATACAATAGCGAACTGGAGCCCTGCATAAGAACTATGACTTTTTTATGCTGACTAAACTATATCGTTTTATGACGTTTTTAAGCTTTACAAAACTATGTCGTTTTATGACTATTTTTGCCTGACTAAATTACTTAATTTTAATGACTTCTGTTTTTACCTTACTATACTATGTCCTTTTTATGCTTTCCTATGCTTTGTCATTTTTATGACTTTTTATGCCTTACTTTACCATGTTGTTTTCATGCTTTACTGTACTATGATGTTTTTAAAACTTTTTAAATTATGTCATTTTATGACTTTTTGTTCCTTTCTATGATATGTCATTTTTATGACTTTTTCTGCCATATTATACTATGACATTCTTATGCTATACTATACTATGACGTTTTTATGAATTTTTATGTCATACTATACTATGTAATTTCTTTTTTTCTTTTTTTTAAGTATATTTTTTGGGCTTTTTATGCCTTTATTGGATAGCACAGTAGAGAGAGACAGGAAATGGGGAGGCAGAGAGAGGGGGAATGACATGCAGTAAAGGGCTGTCCGATGCGGGACCGACTGCAGCTGGGACTGTAGCCTCTACATATGGGGTGCCTGCTCAACCCACTGCGCCACTCAACGCCCGTACTATGTAATTTTTATGACTTTTTATGCCTTACTATACTATGAATTTGTATGCCATACTATACTCTGATGTTTTTATGACTTTTTATGCCTTACTATACTATGACAATTTATGCCTTATTATACTATGACGTTTTTATGACTCGTTATACCTTAGTATACTATGACATTTTTATGAACTTTTATGCCATACTATACTATGACTTTTTATGCCATACATTTTTATGACTTTTTATGCCATAATATACTATGAAGTTTTTATTACTTTTTATGCCTTACTATACTATGATGTTTTTATGACTTTTTATGCCATAATATACTATGAAAATTTATGCCTTACTATACTATGACATTTTTATGACTTTTTATGCCATACTATACTATGACGTTTTTATCACTTTTTATGCCATACTATATGATGATGTTTTTATGACTATTACGCCTTACTATACTATGACTTTTTATGACTTTTTATGCCTTACTATACTATGACTTTTTTGCCATAGTATACTATGACGTTTATATGACTTTTTATGCCATACTATACCATGAAGTTTTTATGAATTTTTATGCGTTACTATAATATGACATTTTTATTACTTTTTATTCCTTACTATACTATGACTTTTTATGCCATGCTACACTATTGACGTTTTTATGCCTCTTTATTCCTTACTATACTATGACGTTTTTATGCCATACTATACTGACATTTTTATGACTTCCTATGCCATAATATTCTGTGATGTTTTTATTCCTTTTTATGCCATACTATACTATGACATTTAAATGACTTTTTACGATTTACTATACTATGACATTTTTATGACTTTTTATGTCATATACTATGACGTCTTTATGACCTTTATGCCTTAGAGTACTCTGATGTTTTTATGATCTTTTGTCTTACTATACTATAACATTTTGATATATTTTTTATTTTTAGTTTGGGCTTTTATGCCTATATTGGATAGCACAGAAGAGAGAGACAGGAAATGGGGAGGCAGAGAGAGGGGGAATGACATGCAGTAAAGGGCCNTTACTATACTATAACATTTTGATATATTTTTTATTTTTAGTTTGGGCTTTTATGCCTATATTGGATAGCACAGAAGAGAGAGACAGGAAATGGGGAGGCAGAGAGAGGGGGAATGATATGCAGTAAAGGGCCGTCAGATGCGGGATTTGAACCGGGGCCGACTGCAGCGAGGACTGTAGCCTCTACATATGGGGCGCCTGCTCAACGCCACTCGACGCCCCTATACTATAACATTTTTATGACCTTTCATGCCATAATATACTATTACGTTTTTATGACTTTTCATGCCTTACTATACTATGACATTTTTATGACTTTGAATGCCTTACTATATTATTACAATTTTATGCCTTACTAAGGGAAGGGGAAGGGGAAGTCCACTTAGCCAGCCCCGCTAGGGCCGTTGCACTCAGCAACTCCCCTCTAACCTTACTAATTAAAAAACTAACCTAAACCGAAACAAAAACCGACAACTACCGGTGATCTCCAACCCCATGCCTAAAAAAAGAAACAAAACCAAAAGCCAGCACCCTGGCACATGCTGCTGAACAGAGATCAGGTTTTGAGGAAATTCCACTCCCCAGCACTTGACAGCTAAGTGGCAACTGTGACAGCAGGCCCACTCTGCTCCTCAGGTCCCTCCTTTTATTGTCAGCAGGTGCTGGACTTCTATTGGAGAGACAGGTAAAGAGAGAGTGGAGAAGAGCAAGGGAGAGAGCAAAACAAAACCCCCAAAATTGTGCGCAACAGTGAACTGGAGCTGCGCGTAATAACTATGAATTTTTTATGCTATATCGTTTTTATGACATTTTTATGCCTTATGACATATATATGACATTTATGTCCCTATATCAAGAGTGATGTTATCAAATACAGTATGTCACCTATAAGAGAATATATTCTTATGACATATATACATTCTCTGGATATATAAAGCTATAAGTTTATAGAAATATATGATATACTCATAATGCAACTTTATTAAAACAACATTCTTATTAAAACTATGACATTTTTATGACGTTTTTATTCCATACTATACTATGACTTTTTTATGAATTTTTATGCCTTAGTATACTATGACATTTTTATTGCTTTTTCTGCCTTACTATACTGTGACATTTTTATGACTTTTTACGACTTACTATACTATGACATTTTATGCGTTACTATTCTATGACTTTTTATGCCAAACTATAATATTACATTTTCGTGACTTTTTATGCCTTACTATACTATGACATTTTTACGACTTTTATGCCTTACTTTACTATGACTTTTTGTGCCATACTATTCTATGACATTTTTATGAATTTTTATGCCTTACTGTACAATGACGTTTTCATTACTCTTTATGCCTTAGTATACTATGACGTTTTTATGACTTTTCATGCCTTACTATATTATTACAATTTTTTGCCTTACCAGGGGAAGGTGAAGACCGCTGAGCCGGCCCCGCTAGGGCTGTTTCACTCAGCAACTCCCCTCTAACCTGCCTAGTTCAAAAACTAACCTAAACAAAAACAAAAACTGATAACTGAACTACCGGTGATCTCCAACCCCATGCCTAAAAAAAGAAACAAAACCAAAAACCAGCAGGCTGGCACATGCTGCTGAACAGAGATCAGGTTTTGAGGAGATTCCACTCCCCAGCACTTGACAGCTAAGTGGCAACTGTTACAGCAGGCCCACTACACTCCTGAGGTCCCTTCTTTTATTGTCAGCAGGTGCTGGACTCCTATTAGAGAAACAGGTATAGAGAGAGTGGAGAAGAGCAAGGGAGAGAGCAAAACAAAACCCCCAAACGGTGTGCAACAGCAAACTTGAGCTGCGCGTAATAACTATGAATTTTTTATGCTATGTTGTTTTTATGATGTTTTTATGCCTTACAATACTATGACTTATGACATATATATGACACATATGTCCCTATATCAAGAGTGATGTTACCAAATACAGTATGTCACCTATAAGAGAATATATTCTTATGACATATATACATCCACTGGATATATAAAGCTTTTACATGTTTGTTTTTGATTTTCACACATATCTATCTTTTATATTTACATATATAATATGAACATATACTGGCTTTGTGATATATTTATGTAACATATGTCTATAATATAAAAAGACATACTAAAATACATGTTTCTGTTAGCTAGACATATATGTTAATATATTATACTGTTGTAACAGGTTTCATATGTAATTTTTACATATATTGGCTATACTTAATACATAAATGATCTTACTTGATATGTACATATATTTCATATATGGAAATTCAACACATTTTCATATGTTATGTTTGCATATGGGAAATGAAAATTCACATCTTATTTGTTAATAAACTGTTTGGTTCATGACATTAAGAAGCCAATCTCTTTGTTTTGGAGGGGTGGCAAGTTTTTGTGTCCCTACCAATGTTGAGACCAAACCTACGCCCTTGATATATAGTAAATGCCATTCAGTCATCCATCCATACCACTTATCCTTTGAGGGTCACGGAGAGGTTGGAGCCAATCCCAGCTGACATTGGGCAAGATGCAGGGTACACGCTGGACAGGTCGCCAGTCTATCACAGGGATGATATATAGAGAGAAACACCCATTCACTCTCACATTCACACCTATGGGCAATATAAGGTCACCAATCAACCAAACTGTCCTAAATTGCCAGAAAAGAAAACTAGAGAATTTACTATTTTTGATTTAGTTGTGTTTGTTTGAGCTACAATTAAGAAGTTAACTCAAAAAAATGCAAATTTTTTCTTTAGAGGGAAAATTACATGTGTTCATTGCTGAAATTTTAAATAGTAGACTGGAAGGACTGAGAGAATCCAAAGTGTAAGTACTGGTTAAAATAAAAGTGATGAAAGGATTTGAAACATCAGTTGCAGTTGAAGGATTTATTTCTCTATGACTGACTGACTTTGCTCTTTCTTTCTTTGTCTTTCCTTCCACCCTCTCGCAGTCCGTCACAGACATTCATTAATTTGCAGTGCTCATACTCGTCTCGGCTCTCCCGCTATTGGTGTACTCTGGACCACAATGAGGATGAGCACAGAACACTTCATACAGCCTTCCTGTGTGTTACAAACATGGCAGGCAACGCCACCAGCACCCTGCTCCACTTTACACCTCTGAACATTTGTAAGTAGATGATCCTGTCAGCATGTATCTTTGGTCTGATGTAAAAGTTACTCTCAAGCTGCACTCAATACATTCCTTCCTGCCCCCACAGTAAAGCCGGACCCTCCATCAGATGTGAAAATCACTGAGTTGGAGGGACATCAGACGTGGATAAAGGTCACCTGGTATTCCCCGACCTCCTGGAAACATCAAGACAGATATTATGAACTAATCTACGAGGTCAAATACTGGCCTCTCCAGTCCTCGTTTTATAATAAGCAGGTGTGTTCTGGCAGACCATTAGACAAGCAGTTGGGTATTGCAGTTTTTGAATATGTGTGCCATACATACACTGTTGGTGTGTTTACTCTTCCTAGTACTCCAGCGCACTGTTGATTTTTCAGGCCTGAAACTATTGTTATCAGTTGATGACAGGGTGATGTGTGTTAACCTGGTTGTCTGTCTGTATGTGTTTGTGTAGGTAATGTTGATTAAGGGTTCACGCTCCCACACCATCAAAGATGCCATGCCTGGTGTTCAGTACCTGATACAGCTCAGAGCCAAGGACGAATATGACGGCCAGTGGAGTGACTGGAGTACACCTATCAATGCAAGCAGCTGGACAGGTACACACACATGCAAACATGCATACACCATATGTAAACAATAAAATAGGTTTCCCTCCATGTCACCATTAATGTTAGAAAACTCGAATAAGTAGTTTATCTTGCTCAGGGGACAGAAAACGGACTTACTTGGTTTTAGAGACAATGGAAGTGATCATTGAACTTCATCAACTAGCAATCAAGTAATGCATGATCCATTGTGGACACAGACAAAAGTAGTCATGACAACCTGAGGAAGCAGGACTCCTGTTTCCTTCCCCTGAGATTGGATTTTCCAAAAACACAGCAGTGCATATAAACATCCTCTCATACTTAGAGAGTTTTACTTCTTCCAGTTGTGTGTTTTTTTGTCTTTGAATCCGTTTAGTTATTGTATAAAGTATGCATTAAGTATTCTGGATACATGCTGATACAGTGGTTAGGAGAATATTTAGAAAAAGTTGATGAATACATCCTCATGTCCACATGTTCTCTGCAAAATGAAATAGACTCTGTAAAATGAAAGTGACACATGCTCATACAAATTTTGACATGAAAGTGAAACCTTTTTTTAAGGTAAATACATTAAGATATATTTCCTCTATGCTTTTTAACACATTTTCACTGAAAGGAATAGTTACACAGATTAAATAAACTAGATAAAACATGTTAATTAGGGATTTTAAGAGGTATTGGTTGTTTTGTTTTTTTGTTGAAAAAAAGGTCAGAACCAGGCTCCGTTTTCCCCCGTTTCCAGTCTTCATGCTTATCTAAGCTATTCGTCTCATCCACTGGTTTCAAATTTGTTGTGAATTATTTGAATTACTGTTCATATGGTTATTGTGACATGAGATTGATCTTCTAGAAGGCAAGAAGGCAAATAAGTCTATTTCCCAAAATGTCAAACTATTCCTTTGAGTAGTTTCCTTGTGTCCTTGGGATTTAACTTCTAATTTTCAGTCACCTCTCTGTTTCCAAAATAAAGGCCTCTGAAAATTGATATTAGCTCATCTGGTTTATGTTAAACATATTTGTACAATTTAAAGACCCCTAGTTTATTTTTGGATCAGGGATTGTTGCTTTTTTCTGCATTCAAGACTTATTTTAAAATGAAATCTATTCTTCTTCAAAGTAACTCATACTCTAAAGGAGGCCTGTACAGGCCAAAATATTTATATACTGAATCACTAAAAGTCTGGAATGCAAGAGTAATGTGTGGAAATGTGTAGAAATCTCCTTTTCTACTATATGTCACTCCAAAAGTTAAACAAACTCTGTCTAAATCAGTGGTTCCCAACGTTTTGTGCTCTACTGGTTACTTGTTGCACAAGTCTAATCGTTGTGACCAGTTCAACCATATGTTATTTTGAAAGGCCTTGTACAAGCATTTAAAAAAAATTCAATATTTTAAACATATATTCGTGTAGCAGAAATAAATTTTCCTCCCTTTCCTTTCTACCCCCTTTGATCCCAAGCTCATCAAGATAATACACTGTAATATGCGTTAACTTTTCAGTGTCTAGATGAATACTGTAAGAGACTTCCTGCTTGTCAGGGATGTTGATAACATGTTTCCTGTGTGGATGTTTCTCTCCCAGCTCCTGTGCTCATTGATGATCTGATTACCACAACGGTAAAAGTTTTAAGTGTCAATCAAATGCATCAGTCATTTATGGGGAAAAAACATTTACGCTCTTCATCTTTCAGGAACTCACAATGTCTCTTGTGTTACTGTTTTTAACCAACAGTTTCCAGTAATCATAGAGGAAGGATCTACTACAGATGACTACACGCCTGATGGTATGATAGTTAGCAGACAGTTAAATATTATGGTTAATCAGGTTTGTTTGTGTGTGACAGTGGAAGACGATGAAAAGATGAAAAGAACAGGATGAAAAAAACTCTTAAATGTTGTTCGTGCTAAAAACCCCCTCTGCCCCACTGGGTTTTAACAGGAAGTCGTGTCATCATAATAACTGAGGCTCAACAACGAAACAAGCTACAGGAAACATGGCTCAACACACCTATCACACATACAGACACACAAACATTGTCACACTCAAACATATACTTGCATGGATGTTATTCTGGTCCATCATTTCTGGTTCAGGATTTCTCAGTTTTCCACTCTCTTTCTAGACGTTCTTGGACCAGGAAATACTCCCTCTCCTGGACCAGTGGAGCTGTCTCATGCCCTGTGGATCTCTGGTTCATTTCTTCTCTTGTCAGTCATTTTGGCTGCCTACATATTCAGGTATAGAGAGGCAGCTGGTGTTAAATGGGAACTTTGTTATGTTTTTGTAGGTCTCGAAAATTTGAATTTACTCTAATATAGAAAACAGTTATACAGTACCCGTGATGCAATTAAAATGCTTAAGTTTACAACATGAATTAAATAATGGTCAGTGAATTTCTGTCTTATTTTTCAAACTCCAGCAAAATCAGCATCTTCATTTTAACCTCTCTTTTTTTTCCAGACACAAGGACAGATTAATGTCTAAGCTGCACCGTGTGAGTGTCATCATCCAGCCTCTTGACTCGTCTGAGCTTCCACCCACCACCCCAGCAGCCCCAGAGGAGCAGGCCCTGGTAACTTTTACCCGTCCACATTACAAAGAACCCCCAGTGAATGAAGGAGAAGAAGAGGACGGAGAAAATGAGGAAGAACAGAGGGTGAAGGAGAGGATAGAAGCCATGCACTTCAACAACACAAGTTATTTCTTTGTCCAGAGGGACTGATGATCATTCAAAGGGGGGGCTTAAACTAGTTGGAACATTTTAACATACCAACTACTGCCGGATTTGCGTTTTTCACTTCAGAACTGGTGTCACAGATGACACAAAGGATAATGGACTTAAACTTTTTATGGTTCTTCAATTAGCTTCTTTTGGAAGCAACCTCAGGAATAGTGTCTATCTCTCTAACTATCTCATGCCTAAAATACCTCTGAAAATACTTTGTTGTTGTTATTGTATAAAGAGCAGCATTTAACTACTGTGTCCTATGTGTGTGTCAATTTAAAATGTTTTGATAAACTATGGATTGGATATTTTTCTGCAAAATTTGAAAGATGTGACAACAGTTACAGTTAACAGTTTTCAGTGACAATATAGCTAAATATTTCCCCAGTCATCCAGCCTCCAGAAAAGGCTTCACCAGGGAAAAACTTATCAATTGGGATTGTTGTGTTCATATATGGAATGTGATGTGATAAATATAAAAGTCGATGAACTAAGTCAGTGATCAAACTGTACTTAAAACACAATGGTGGTTTACTGTTCTTGCATTATATCAGAATAGTCCAAAAGCTATAGGAAAAGTATTTTTGAGAAGCTTGTAAATGTCTTAGCAGACATAACACTTTTGCTTTTTTGTTTTGTGTGTGTGTGTGTGTGTGTGTGTGTGTGTGTGTGTGTGTGTGTGTGTGTGTGTGTGTGTGTGGGTGTGTGTGTGTGTGTGTGTGTGTGTGTGTGTTGTTCTAATCCTGCTACGTGAAGCACTTTGGGCTACATTTTTGTGTCCTGTATAAATAAAGTTAAGTAGTATCACTAGTGGCAGTGGTGGTGTTTCTTTTTATCTTGGCTTGTGCTACCCCCCAGCGGACGCAGCTGTTAACTGCAGAAATCGTTTCTATAGCAACAGTGATTGCCAAGCGTAACCAGCAACTGTGTCAGTAACAGGTGTTGTGTTCTGCTTAATATGGCTCCTAACCTGTGCTCCTAACGTGTCTCAGCCGTAGATTATTGAAAAATCATTTGGACCAACATCTATAGAGAAATGATGGCGAGAAAAGGCGGATTGGCGAAACTGGATGTTGCTGTTTTAAGCCCTGAGCAGCAGGAGAAACTGCGACAGTTCAAGGTAACCTAACATTGGGTGAATTTTACAACGCTTAAAAATGCTAGTCCGTTACATTTATCTAACGTTAAGGCGGCCAACTGCCAACTTTGTTTGTAGATTATTTGCAAGTCTAGTCAGTGATATGAGTTTTTTTTCCAGATCAAGACGAGAATCGACAACGAGCAGTATTTGAGGTCGCATCCAGAAGTGGAGCTACTGATAGGCGACTTTCTAAGGTAAGCTAGCCCATCTTCTTCAGTTTTGAAAAGCTAATTTTGCTTGCTATGTCCGCAGGTGAACTTTATATACAGTCAAACCTCAAAAAATTTATTTTAAGGACGATAAAAGGTCAGAATAAGAAGAAAAAATTAAATGGTTTGAGAGTACTTACCAAACTTCCAAAAACCTATTTTGCCCTGTAAGTGACCCATTATGTACAACATACTTACATAAAAACAGCCGCCATAGCCACAGAAAGTGCATGCATCTGAGGAATATGTGCAGTTGATCACCTTTTAATATGAACTTTTACTTCACTCAAAAGGTTCAGCCTCTATAATAGACTTTACTATGGTTGTATAGTTGCTATTCACATTTTCTGTTTTCTCACAGGGATGTGCTTCTTAAAAGGCCTGCTGATATCTGTGAATTTGCTTCAGGTCAGTTGTGCACACAAACACTCACTCACTCACTCACTCACACACACACACACACACACACACACACACACACACACACACAATATGTGGCCAATTTTTTCATTTAAATGTTTTATGACATATGTTGGGTTTTGATGTTATTTTATTGTGTTGATTGTCATGATAAATGTCTTATTTACTGTATATAGTGTAAGTGTAAAATTGCCAGTTGTTTTTTCCGTTTGATTTGTTGACAATTATAAAAAATATAGAATAAAATCAGCCTCATCCTTCAAATGGACCCCATGAAGAGTAGATACATTACTGTTTACACACACAAGCATAATTTTACCCACTAACCAGTGTCTATGGTCTTTTTCAGATCATTTCACCAACCCAAACCTTCATGCAACTATTGGCTCCAAAATTGAAGAGAACAGTGTCAATGAGTGAAACACACCCAATAGTCATAGCTTTGCAATTTTTCTTTGTGTCTTTCTCTGTACACAGAAACAACTAAGATGCGAATAAGTTTTTGTCTGTCTGCAAAACTGGTCAGTTTATAGCTTCATTATCAGATCGCTATCGCAGGAAGCCAACTAACTGGGAAGATGGTAACGGCCATTCCTAATGAGTGTAATTAAAGGTTAATGAGAACAGGATGTCCTGTGGGTATTACGCACTGTTTGTCACATCACCCACATGATTATGTTGGGACATATTGAAGAGTTAATTGTGGCCCATGTAATGAAACCAGGATCACATATTGCAATCTGCATTCATCTGAATGGCTGTGTCCCCTTAACTATATGGATTACTTAAAACATATCTTATGAAGGGCCAGAGAGGTTGACACCAGTTCAGATTTAATATTTACACCATTCATTTATTTAATGATAAAACTATTTTTTTTTTAAAATCTTTCTTTTTTTAATTCATGGTCCAGTGATATCTCTAATTCTTTTCATTGAGGTGATATTTGTGCTTTTTTATATACTGTACATATATTTTTTTTGGTTGCATTGAAATATTTGATACGCATCTGTATAGACAATGAAATTATACATTGCAAAAGCAAAGGATTAAACTAATTAATGAAGCACATGTTTATAGAGTCACAGTCACATATTACAAGAGGTGAATTTTTGATTGATGATTGATAACCTTGTTTCTTTTGGAGAAAATTGACTTTGTGTTTCTAGAGAGAAGTGATCTCCTCAGTGTCTTTGTCAAATTTATCATCTGTCATCCATTACAATAACTGCATGTTAGCTTGGGCAGTGGCCAAGCTTTCTCCATGGTGAGTAGAGCTTTTACTTTGTAGTTATCCTGCTTTGTTTGTTGTTTTGTTTTGGCTATGTAATTGTGTCTGGACAATGCAGCACTGCATTGGGTTGTGGTGTTTGGGTTTTATCAGCCTATTCATCTTTTCCATCCACCCATGTTTGCTTGGAGCATGGTGTACTGCAATGGACAGCACAACGGAATCCTGTGCTCTACAAAAAAAAAATGTTTGTTTGTCACAATACTAATGATGGACTGATGAAACTAAGGTTGAATTGTTTTGGAAGAACATCGATCACGATTTGGGGTTTTGCTGCCTCCGGGCCTGAACAGGTCAACATTATCAAAGAAAATTAATTCCTAAATTCATCAAGGTATTTTACAGGATAATGTCAGGGTGTCTGTCCACCTGTTGAAGCTGCAGGAGGAGTTGGGTGATGCAGCAGGACAATGACCCTAATCATGTAATCAAGTAAATCTACTACAGAATGACTTCAAAGAAAGAAAATCCACCTGTGGAGTGGCCTAGTCACAGCCCAGGCCCTGGGGCCAGTTGCTCAAAACACCTTAAGTTAAGATTAAAGTCTGAGTTAAGGTTTCCTTAAAATAAAAACAGTTGTCCAAAACACTGTAAGTCTTCTCCTTAAGGTTTCCGTGAAGTTCCTGTCAAAACAACAGGAGGCTGAGATTGCTTGCCGGCTTCTTTGATAACAGGTATAAGCTAATGCCAGCTAACATATGGTCTCCATGGAAACAGTAGAATTTTAGCGCCGTAAAATCTCTTTCACCTCTGTACCTTTTTTCCTTAACTAAGGAAGCCTTTTAAGAGATTCTGTGCAACACCCTTAAGTAACTCCCTCAGCTAAGGAAAATTTAAACCTTAAGTGTCATACTTCAGCAGAAATCTTAAGGTGTTCTGTGCAACTGGCCCCTGATCAGTCGCTACTGGAGCTTGTTTGAGGTTAGTGGTGCCAAAGGAGATGTGACCACTTATTAAATCAAATGATTTACTTACTTTTTCCATCAACAGTGTGAATGTTTATTGGGTGTGTTCAATAGGGTGTGTTCAAAGACACAAAAGATTATAATTGTTTATGTGATATAAGTTTAGAGACACTGTGTTTGTCGACATGTGTAACTCAGATCACATTTTATGACCAATCAATGCAGAAAACCAGGTAATTTTAAAGGGGACCACATACTCTTTCTTATCACTGAACACGTATGATGAGAGTTCTTCAACAGCTTTTGAAGGATTATCTCACCTTTATCTAATAATGAGTTAATTTCATGATTGACATGAGAATTCATCAATTAAAATAAATATCTCAAATGATTTGTAACTTCTGTCTGTCACTTTTTTCCCTCTCTCTCTCACACACACATACTCGTGCGAACACACAGACACACATTAACAAACAGTATTGTTTTAACATCACGCACCAGCTTTGACTAAGGCAAGTCAGACAGGTAACCACCCAGCTCACGTCAGATGTGAGAGAAAGGCAGGGGACAAACGCGTACATCCTCAGTTTGTCTGTACACGGTTTTTATACTGACTTGAATCTACCAGGGACCAGACGCAGACTCTGTAAGTAAAAACTAATTAGTAGATAAACCAGTAAGTTCTTGGTTTTCTGTTTCTGTCTTTTTGATGTGTTGTAGTTTTATGTATTTATGTTGAAACATAATTAACATTCTTAACGTTTGTACAGATGTGATATGTGTATATTGTTTGCTTTATTGAATATTTATTTTTTTTATCTCAATAATTCTTCATGAGTGATAGTTCCCTGTAATTTCATGTTGATGATTTATATAACAAGCAAATATATAATTATGCTGTAAAATCTTGTCTGACTTTATAAGAGACCATACAGGGTCTCGTTATTATCCTTATATTATTATTCTTTTATTCTTATTTTTTTATCTATTTCCGATGTCCATTGGGTATATTTAAATAAGAAGTCAAATCAATGGAAAGCAAACAATTTAAATTAAGGCAAAACAGCAAGATGCAAATGTCTGAGGGGGGATTCAAATATGTGAGTAGTAATGAGGAAATGAGCTGTGTGTGCTGAAGTGATGGAGCAAAAAACAGATGTTGACAAGATGTGGTTCTGCAGTACATCATGTACATCACCGAACCTGTTTTTCTCAGTGTGTTATCCTTCAAGTCCACGGAGTCTCCCACAGGATGGGTAACAGGGATGGTAACTAGGGAGGGACGATCACAAATCCTCAGAGGAGGATGTATGTCAGAAAAGTGGAGGTGGTTCGCATGGAAACAGGTTCCATAACAACTGGAGACCTGATAACAAAATCCTCACATCCCACTACTTTTTAAGTCATGGAGGATAAAATCAGATTTATTAAATTAATTATATAAGACATATAATTTAAAAAGGAAGAACGTGAACATCTGTTGACCTCACTTGTAATATGTATTGATATTGATACACACATTATGTCATGATGTTGAACAAACAGGCAGGAAGCTCTTTTTTCACCATGGCTCCAAAAGGAGGAAGATTTTTCTTTCTTCTTATTGTGGCCTGTGCAGTTTTGGGTAAGCAGCAATCACACATGCATCATCTGCTTATAACTGGCAATATGCATGCATATTGTTTATGTGTTATGTGTCTACCTGCCCAGCTAAGCCCCCATATAAGAGGCCTGGAGAACGTGACTTCAAGGACATGGCCAAAAAACTGGTATGTAGCTAAAAGGAGATATATATATATATATATGTATATATATACATATATATACAAAACAACTGTTTTTGATTTTCAAGTCCCAGTCACAGTTCAACTTTCTCTGTCACAGTTTTCAAAGACAGCTGAGTTCATTACAGTTTTCAATCATTATATTTTATCATCATCACATTGACATTGTGAAATGATTACAGTTTTATGTGGGAAAGTGATGAGTATAAGGCAGCAATCTCTCATAGAAATCAAATTGTATTCATTAGCAGTAATTGCACTGGAAATCACAGCTTGCTGTTTGATGGCGAGAGAAGGTAGATGGTCGGAAAATTGTGCAAAAATTATATCTCTGACCTGGGGAAAAATCATCAGGGAGAGAAAGTGGTTCCACCAGTTGCTATATTAGTTTTTTTCCCATAGTATCTCTTGTGCCTTTAATCTCCAATCTGGTTTTCTAAGTTTGAATTTTTACTTTAAAAAAATGTTATGTTTAAATCATCTTTTTATGTTAAAACTCATCAAGTTCAAGAAAAGTAGTAGTTTTAGTTTAATAGTAGTTTAATTAGTAGTTTAATAGTTTTGTTCCTTGAACCTTCAGCTCCATACCCACCCTCTGTGCTTTTGTTTTTAGAAAACATCAGAGCTTCGTGCCAGTCACTACTTCCACCTGCTGCACACCATGACTGTCATGACAGGGCCCCATAACATGTTTGACACTGTTAGATTTAGTAATCTGAAACTCATCAAGATGGTTTTCTTGTGTATATACTGTATATGCAGTATATCAAAAACCCTTATAATTTCATCAAACTTGAGCGTTGTTCACATTTATGTATAATATGTGTATAATATTTCTTCTAACCACATACAATGATTTTAAACAATTAAATGTATTATCCTATATGTCTGATGATGATGGGTCCATTTTTTTTTTCAGATGACAAAGTGCAAGAATAAGGGTGAGAAGACTCTTAACTCTTTTCTATGAAATGAGTTTGTGTGTGTGAGAGAGAGAGAGAAAGGGGGGGGGGTGTTTGCATGGAGTCCTGGTTGTGTGAATGTAAGGGTGTATGTTAGCATGTATTATGAATACCCTTTGTAAGATGAGTCGCATCTCATAAATGGCAGTTATTCAGACCAGCCCTGATGTATTTGTACAACATATCAATATGGAGGGTTGCTATGTTACAGGATACCAGGTGCCTGAGCGGATGCTGCTGAGCACCGTTTTCAATAATAGGTAATTCTGCATGTGTGTCTCTATGTGTTTGGTTCATTTCTTGCAAACATGTTTGATATTTCCCACTGAATTTTCAAGTGTCACCCCTGTTTTCTTTAAACCATGACTTGCTCTCGTTTATTATTCTTAAATATCTTTTATTTAAAGCCGTTTCCTTGAAGTTGATATGATGTGAGACGTTTCTTTGGGCTTGCACAAATGTTTTAGCCACTTTTTGCTGAAGACATTTTTTTGCTTCAAGCTGAGAAAATGTGAAAAGTGAGAAATTATTTTCAAGACACCCCTGAGCAAGTCTTTCAGCTCCATCTGAGGACTGTGGCTGCACTGTGAAGGACGTGTATGACTATATGACTAAGAAAAGAGAGCATATTACTCCAATGCTTCCAGTCAGCTACAGAAGGGAATTCAAAGTTTTACTTATTGTCTATAAGTCACTAAATGGTCTGCGGCCTTAATATATTTCAGAAATGTTCGATGTATAAAAGCCTCTAAGATCTGCAGGAGCTGGTCAGTTAGTGGTGCCTGGAGTTAAAACTAAACAGGTGAAATGGCTTTCTGCCCACAGCTCCCAAACAACATCCAATCAGCTCAAACTGTAACTGGCTTTAAAAAGAAGCTAAAAGTCTTCATTTAATCACATAATCTTGCACTTAAATTAGACATAATCTATTTTATAATCTGTGTATTTATACTGTTTTCTTATTATGTATTTAACTTCTACTTATTTTGCTTCTTTAATTTCTGGTTAGGACATTAAATGACCTCTGTGTATGATAATGTATACAAATAAATTTGCCTTGCCTATAAAGCAAAATGTTGGTGTAAAAGTACTAATGGTCTTGGTTGAATTTGTCCGGACAATCAAACGATAGCTTCGATAAATAAAACACACATAAATCACAACGTTTTTTAAAACCAGCTCTACTCACCAGCTCCTGTTTCCACTCTACATTTCTCTCTCAGTGATTTGCCTATGGAGGACAGAAACGCTGACTCATCCAACACTCTCCTTTCCACTTTTCTTGATGTCCTGAATTCAGCCACTGCGGGCCCAAACAAAGGTTCAAAGACTGGCCACGTCCCGATGGATGACTCAGATAAAATGGTGTGAAAACACACACACACATACTCTCACGATCGTACACTTGATCCACATTTATAAGCTGTGTTCAATGCAAGAAAAAAAAAATGATTGAAACATGTAATCCATTATGTTTATGTATTACTCTGATTATTTGGAGGAGTCAAACTATGATGTTAATATTTGACACAACTTTTTTTTTTTTTTTAGAAAATCAAGATGTGGAATTGCACCAATCTTGCACACATGATCAGGCTGATGAGAAACTCTTCTGTAAGTACACTAATGCCAAGATCTTAACAACAAAAACACTATAATCCATGAATGAGTTAATGCTGCTCTCTAGAAGTCTAATCATACCTACCATCTCTCCACAGGAGGCATCTGCATGTTACGTGCGAGCATTTTTGGCCCCTGTGTCCTGGGCAACTTTGACCACAAATAGTGAAAACAACATGGACTCAGATGACTATGACACACTGCTGTGGGCTGCCAAACCCGCACTGCTGGACATGCCTTCTTCAAGAATGAACCTTCCTTCCAAAGCAGAGGGACAAAACATGAAAAAGATGTGTGTGTTTTAATGCGCTTACCGTAATTCTTCCACTGTCTCTCATCAACTTTTCCTTGAATTCTAAAACTGCTCTTGGTTCCAGGATGAAGATGCTACAGGAGATGTTTGATCCCATGTCTGACAATCAAAGGACTCGGGTGGCCCAATGGGCAAAAGAGCAAATCACTCAGAATTACTTCAACTGCACAATGAAGCCACCATCTGACTCAAGATCAAGTAAGAGATGAGTCAAATCCAACAAGTCAGGAACCACGTTCAACAAAGAAATCTAGTCACACTTTCTGATATGTTCACCTCTAACTATTTACAAGAAAATCTGATAAATTCATACCCCTCTGTTAAATGGAAAGAAGAAAGAAAGTAAAGGAAGGAGGGCAGAAACACTAGAAATGAGGGGGAGGACAAGGCGGAGAGGAGAGAGAAGAAAAGAAAACCCTTCTAAACTCTAAAGTAGAAGTGACTAAACGAGGCTGAGGAAAATAAATGAAGCAGCTGAAATAAAGTAAACCAGATTAAAATAACGAGAAAGGGACGAGAACTAAGAGGAAACATTTGAGGAATATGAGGAAAAAGCAGCTTAACTAATGCAAATCATACAAAGCAAGTGAAAAGTCATGTCATTAAACAACAATCACATAACAATATTTTATTCCGTAGCACATCTGGAGCGCTGCAAAGCTTCACTGAAATGGCTGAACCTGGAAGCGATGACCATGATGGGGCCGTACCTCTCCCGTTTAGCACCACCTGATGTTGATTCCTCTCCCAAAGAAAAGGTCGGGGGGGGGGGGCAAAGAAGGAGAAGGACCCAATAAAACTGAAAGCAGAAAATAATAAGATTTAAATTTTTAGCTCTGTTGGTTTGTTTCCTTTTCACTTTCTCCTCCAGCTGTGTAAATTTTTCCGCTCAGCCATGTTCAGATCCACCTTGAGCAGGGCGACCAGGATGACGCCCAGCCTGGGCAAGAAGTTCCTCCAGAGAGTTCAGGATTGCTTCAGTGAGAAGGAGGAGTTCGCAGAGCATACGGACAAGTCTGTAATCGTGCATTAGTGTGTGTACATTCCTGCATTAAAACTGTTTGGATGAATACATTCATGCCTTTTAATCCCCTCCAGGCTCGGCACACTGGCTTGTTATTATTATGATGCTCCAGACTTGACTATTGAGCTCAGCAAGAAACTCCTCTCTCAGCTTGACAACTGCGACAACCCCAGAATCAGACAGGTATCAATGACTTGCTGCCCAAACTTTACACTGACTTTCAACACGTCGTCCATTCAGCCAGGACAGAAGTAACAAATTTCATCAGACTCTTCTTCTTGTCTTTTTCTCCTGTCCTCTATCATGACTCAAGCTGAAGAAGCGCCTTGTCAAGTCTGTGATCTCAAAGTCCAACGCTGCTCAAGCACTACGTGAGCTGGGCAGTAGTGTTACTATGTTGTCTCCCAAACAACTGTCCATGCTCTCTGACACTGATCTCAAAGAGGTTCTCAAAAATCTGGGACCCAACGTCCAGTGGACACGTGGCCAGATGCGCGCTCTGCTCAAGAAACAGCTGGGTGATAAGAAGGTAAGCCTGCAGGGTTGGCAGCTTGTCTCCCACATGATCTCCCTCTCACTTGGTACTTATCTCATTATCTTCTCTTCTTTAGTGTAAAGAGGTGTCAGGTGAGGAGCTGATGGCCCTTCAGTCGGTTGCAGAAGGTTTGCCGAGCTGTGTGCTCAAGCACATGAAAGCCCGGGTGATCCTTGAAGATAGAGAGGCTCTGAAGAACATCTCCAAGAGGATGAGGAAAGGGCAGCTGAAGGCCATGCTGGAGGGGGTGAGTAAGGAGAGAGGAACAGGAAATACAGGATGAACTATGACTCTGTTAAGTGATATCATTTATATACACTGTAAACATCATTTTAGAAAGAATGAAATGCTTCCCTGCAGCTGCGTGGGGGTGTGGATCCCTCAGAGCTGGTGCAGAAGTTGTCCGGCCCTTTGCTTCGCCGCATTTCTCTAAGCAGCCTGGAAAAAGCAAACATCACCTCTTTGGACCAAGTGGAGAATAAAACGTGGAGTCGGCCACAGGTAACACCTCCTCTCTACCAAAAGACCATTTTAATGAGTTAAACATTTTGAATGTACTCTGAACTATCAGGTTTCTTTATGTTTTGATGTTAAAAATGACTGATATTGATGCACCTGCTGTAGATCAATCTGGATTACAGAATCTTACATAAACGTATTACTTAAGGCTGTTAAGTTAATTATATAATGAGCTGTATTTTCAAAATACTAGTGCCATGTTTCCGTCTTTGTTGTCTTTTCCTTAGGCGGCATACCTGGCAAAAAAGATGCAAGACCTAAAGCAGCTTCAGTTTAGGTAAGATATCCAGCAGTGAGTAAAATAACACAAACCCTATTCAATACACTGTACGTGCACTGTACAGCAGAACTAAGACCTTGCAATAAAAAACAAGGCTAAAATGATTACTCTTGTTCATTTCACATCATTAAAGCACTTGAAAACTTAGTTTCAAATCTTATGTATATCTCTGTAATTGTCACCATATAAGCAAGTAAAATCTTTAATTTTCTGAAACATCTTTGATTATTATATATTATATATTATTACTGCCATCAAAACTCAAGTAAGAAGATGCTTGAGAAGATCGTTTTCATGGCCTTTAACAACACAGAAAATGACAATAGAGATGTTTCCATTATTTGCATGTTCTTCTTACTGTATGTGCATTCCATGCTCACATTGAAATTATGATTGGCGGAAACAGGAGGCTGCGGTCAGTCCTCCAGGGCATAACATGTAAGATGATCGACAAAGTTGCTGACAATGACACGCAGAACATGGCTCAGGCTGTAGCAGAGACTCCACAGTGGCTCTCCAAAGTGCAGGTATACATCTACATACACATACGGTGGCCTATACACGCACAGTTATCTGTGTAGAGTATACCTATTGGTAACAAATACATGTTTCAGGCAGGATGTGCTGCCCGAAAGCTTTTTGCGACTTTGGAGAAAGAGAGAGCCGACTATTTCAAAACCATCACATCGGAGGAGCTGGATAAGATTCCCGCCTTCTTACTTCCTCACCTGCCGTAAGCAAACACTCCCCCTTTTCTTTGTCTCATTTAATCATGTTCTTGTCATGTTTTCCTGCAATAAAATGTCACAGCTTTCCATCTATCTATTCCCACTATCTCAGGCCTTCCAAGGTGAAGGATTTGCCTGACTCTGTGTGTCCTGTCTTCATTGACAAGATGGAAATGGCCAACCTGAGCTCATTACCTCTCCGCGCACCGTCTCGCCCTGTACTCACTGAGAAGGCTCTGAACTGCCTGACCAAAGTACACACAAGGACACATTTAGTGATTTGATGATGGTGGTGTCACTAGCTCTACACCTATTAGTGTCACATAATGAGTCCAGTGGCTGCACACATGCAACAACCGCCTAAGATTTTTACTGTACATTTGCAGGAAGCGGATTTCTCCAAACTGACCTCTGAGGATGTGTCCAGGCTTGGACAGCTCTTGTGCGAGCTGACGGCTTCCCAACTGCGCCTCATGGCCACAGATGTCATCAACTCCACCCTCCAGGCCATGGCTTCCTGCCAGCACATTCCTCAAGGCCACAAGGCAGATCTTATTCAGCTGGTCAACCAGACTTTTGGGTAGGACATTCTCCCTGTGGACGCTGGAGTAACTACAGAGAAAGGCAGAGAAAGCTGGAGTCTGATTAATTTTTTAAATCTTCTGCAGGGATCCATCTGATTGGTCCGCTGAGACTATGGAAGAACTGGGTCCTATCCTCCTTTTGGATGATACTGCCACATCTGCTCTGCCCAATAAGGTGTGTATGTTTTTGTGTTGTGTATGTTTTGTCTTCTCTTTCACATGTCACCTGGACAGTGATGCAGCTCATGATATTCTGTGTCAGCTTTTCCACATTTTTTATCAATAAATCACCAATCACTCAAAGTTAAGAGGGAGTTTAGCACGTTTCTAGTAGCTGGGATTCATGCATGTATTTTTCTCTGTCCCTGTTAGCCTTGGATGAAGGACGTTCTCTACTTTCTGAAGTCACGCCTGTCCCACGTCTCAGACGCCCTGAGAAAGAAATTCTTTGATCTCACCACCACCGCCACCAACACAGCAAATGCAGCACGCAGAAAGAGAGAAGGTGAGGAAGAGACATCTTGTGTGTGTTGTTAATTTTGTAGTGATACCACATAAAAACTAATTGGTGATGTATGATTCTCTTGTACACCTCTATTTCTCTGTTTCACTCAGCTAACAGTAACGGTGTTGGTAGCGGTAACACTGGCACTAACAGTGACCGAACACCCACTGTGGAGATGATTGAAGAACTGGGAATGGCCAACGTCTACTGGTTGGCTCCAGAGCTGAACAGGATGTCAAAGGACACTTTCCTTGCTACTGTAGAAATACTTGGTGCCATCCCTGACTACAGTGCAGACCAGCTGGATGTGCTAAGTAAAAAAGCAATTGAGGTAAAGGACAGCTGAACTGTATGGTTCACTTTTTAACAAAGCAAGACGATCCTGCTTTATTAAAATTTTCAATGCACCCTTCTATCGACTGAGAGAAACACTGCATTTTGATGACTACCATATATCCAAATCTCATTCAAAATGGACATCATGAAAGTTTTAGGGTCTCAATTGCACGTATCAATGTTGACGTCCTACATTTTATCTTCATCACAATCATTTTATGAGTGCAGTCGCCTCTGAGGTAGTCTGGTTTGTTTGTATGTTTTTTTTCTTCATGTTTTGGCAGGCTTTCGGCCCAGTGTCAGAGATGACTGAGAGCGAGGTGATGCAGATGGGATGTATAACTCAGGGCTTCTCTGGCGCAGACCTGGAGAAGCTCCCCTTCACTCTGGATGCTGTGGAGGAAATTGCCCACTGTGGCTGGAATGACTCACAGGTGACATACAGAAACAGCTTCACATGCTCGTGACTATTATACTCATGATGTTCCCTAATCATCATGACCCATCTCAATAGATGGAGCTGGTGTGGAAGGCTGTTGCTAAATATAACACCCTGACAGCGCAGCAGCTGGGAACTTCAGATATGGTAACATTGAACCGGTTCATCTGTGGCCTCACCTCCGGAGAGATCAAAAAGCTTGACAAGGAAGCTTTCAAGTTTGTGCAACATACAGAACTCACATGTGGTTTTATTTATATCACTTTCTTTCAGCATGTTATGTTCATAAATGAGTTTATATCCAATCAAAATTTTATACCAACCAATAAATGGAACCTCACAAAAGCACCAACACTACCAGTAATATTTGATCACTCAAGATATAGAGAAAAAAAATCTGTTATGCAAAATACATATTCCAGTTTCAACAAATAGTATGGTATTAATAGCAGGTATTAAAAAGAGTAAAATCCTGTTTGTCTCATGCAGCTAAAATGTTCACTTAACCTCAGCTAATCTAATTTCACAATTAAGATTTCTCTCAAGATGCACAGCGAAAGAATTCTCCAGAGAATCAAATGTTTTGTTATCAGCTGCACTGTGAAGCAGTGTTATAACTACATAATGTGTGTGTGTGTGTGTGTGTGTCTCTCACAGGGATGCTGTGGGCTCAATGGATGGCATTCAGTGCTCCTTCAACGTTACACAGGAGTTGAAAATGCTTGCTGTGTCAGTGTTTGGAAACCCCAGCACCTGGAATGAAGCACAAGTGTCTGACTTAGGCAACATCATTGGTGAGATCAATTCCTGTGTTTCTCTGCAGGAAACCAAACTCCACTGTAATATTTCACCAAACGTGCTGCAGTTTTACTGACCTGTTTCTGTTTCCTTCAGCTGGGTTGGATGCAAATGAGTTGGCTTCTATGGACCCATCTCTCTTTTCATTTCTCAGCGACACCAGCATCCCACTCATACCACCAAACAACTTCGCTGTAAGTAACTTGGCCATTATTCTTTCCTTCCACCGACTTTCAGCAGAGAGCCAAATCCAGTGGTGGAAAATGGCTAAGTTCATTTACATCAAGCACAGCTCTATGGTACTTGTACTTAACATTTCCATTTATGTTATTTTGTACTAAAACTCCAGTACAATTCAAAGGGAAATGTTGCACTTTGAAATGTACTGGAGTATTGACCTTGTGTATGAAACATGTTATACAAATAGCATGTTTCAAGATATAGACACTCATCTCGAGAACATTTTTTAAACAAATGGATTTAAATGAACATCAGGTTGAAATATTCTTAATGCAATACAAAATAAGCTGATTTTTTTTAGCAACAGTTAAACTGTTGTAACCAGTTCCGTATTAACAAAATATAACAAAAGTTCTGATCACATTCAGTAATTATGCATCAGTGCCAATATATAAAAATTATAGTATAAACATATCTAACTGTATAGTATACATATGCATCTACAGGAACTTTTTTTACCATAATGACTACACTTACTTTTGTTAGTATAATTACATTTTGCTGATAACACTGTTATTTATTTACTCAAATAAGATTTTGCATGCAGGATATTTACTTGTAATACATTGTCATATTTCTTAAGCAAAGGATCTGAATACTTCTTCCAGTACTTTCACCTCTGTGCCATTTACTGTTTTTCCCTCCAGGCACTCTCTGTTGCTCAGCTCGAGGCTCTTGGTCCTGACAACGCTGCCATGGTAACAACTAAACAACGAGCTGCGCTCAGAGTCACACAGCAGGCCGCTCTCGATAGGGCTCTGACTGGATCTCATGAGCAAACAAAAACTAGCCATTCAGGTAAGAAGACAGACGTACACTCATGTAGATTCACAAACTCTTCAGAGTTTAAATGTTACAAGTGTCCATGAAAACTTAGTTTAAAGTTAAAATAACCTTAGGTATTATTATCAGCTACTTTCTGTGAGTGATGTCATCACTATTTGTGTTTTTCTCTGTGCTCTCCTCATTGGTTTGAAGTGGAGGTGGTTGAATTTGGAAAAGGTGATTAAGTGATACCTAGTAATACAGAAAAATACTTATAGCAGCTTTAATAATTTTTCTATCCACAGATGAGCCCACTAGAGAGCTTTATCACATCTTCCACTGTTCAGTATTATACTGACTGGTGCACAAGTGGATATCACTTCTTTTCCCACCCACTTGAGAAGAGCAGAGAGAAAAACACAAATACATTAATCTTCCATGTAAAATAACCAAAACTCTTCTAACTTGGGCAAAAGATTGTGCTAATGCAAGACCCTACCATTCACAGTAGTGATTAAGGAAAAAGGTTTTTGTGATGTTTTCATAAAAGAAATCTTCAGATTAAATCTTGACATTACTCTCTTGTCCAGGAGCTCCATCACTGAGTGTCGAGGGGATCTCGGCTTTCGTGAAGCCCCTTCTGTTTCTGTTCATGGGGTTCCTGCTGCTGTGAGACCAGAGCCACGATATCCAAGGGCAAAACCTGCAGGAGCTTTAGCTAACTACGCACATGCATCCTTGTTTCTATTATTTTCATCATATATTACAATCATGTTATTTTATCATAGAGCACTGCTGACATCATGCAATTCTTCAAGTTTATCTTGTTTGTGACTAGACAGATTTCTCGTCCGAGATCATTTATGTGTGAGTCTAGGAGTGTACAAAACACAACATAATCAAATGAGCTGGTAAGATGTGTTAGGATTCTTTATTACTATTTATCAAGGTCATTTTTAAATATTCTTCCATATATATATATATATATATATATATATATATATATTTATGAGAAAGTATATTTTAATAGAATTAAGAGGAATATTTAATGTTTGTAAGTCTGATGTCGTCTATATGGGATGTCTTAAAAAATTTACTTCTGCCAAAGAGGTTTTGTTTTCACCTGTGTCCGTTCGTTGGTTTGTTTGTTAGTCTGCATGAGTACACAATAAGTACTGATCCGTTTTGCACCAAAAATGGTGGAGGCATGGGGAATGGACCAGGTAAGAATCAATAAAATTTGGGGACAGATCTGGATCATTTACTATGATTTTGAATGTTTTTTCTCTAAAGTTTGGTGTATGTTGTTTGACATTGGCCTTGGGGGAGGTCTGTGCTCAACGAATGTTCTTCTAGTTGACATTGTATTGACAAAATGGAGGATGACAAATGATTCAAATCAATAAAGATTATTAATATACTTAAGTTGCTGTTGAAATGGTAGTTAGAGACAAAACAACTTAAATGGAGGACGTGTCCATTTTTAATTCATTCTTTTTTTCTTTTTTTTAAAACATTTGGTTAAAAATTGTCTTGTCAATGCAAAAACTGAAAAGTTAAATAGGACAATGTGTGTTAAAGCATTGGATAATCTCCTGAGAAAGTAAACACAAAAGCACACAGGTCACTGGTGACAACAGCACATTAAAGGAATAGTTCTTTGCTTTTTTAAACTCAATGACATTGATGCATGGATATTAGCCTAAGTCTATGGATTCTGTGGTATGAGACATCTCAGTGAACCAGCAGCTTGTAAGACGTGACATAAACAGCTAAAAGGTGCCACTTAACAAAAATATTAAATCAAAACACAACACTCAAAATCTTTTAAGCACCCACAACATAATACAGTATCTCTACAACACTTGTTTCTCCTCTCAGGCCATTTGTGTCCTGCAACGGTTTTGTTGACACCTGTTCATCCATAACGCAACCTGATCTGTGCTGAGCAAAGCTGGAACATCTGATTACATTCAGCTCCTTTACCACAGCTTAAGTCATTTTTTTCTTTTTTAGCAGTGCCGAAGACTTAAGAAATCCTCATCAAATACAAAGTTCAACATCTCCTCATGTTCTTAGGAAAGCATAAGGAACAGACATAATCACATACACACTGATCTTTTGTTTACAGTAATTTCATGAAGCAAGATTTAGACAAACATATGCTGCATACCAAGAAGCCATAATACAGAATTCCATCTCTTGCTGCTCACAGAGAAGGAATGAATCAGTTAATCTGATGTAAATACAGTACATTCCATTTAAAAAGGTATTAAATGTTAATTTCAATGGTTTTGAAAGTTGTACCAATAACTACAAAGTGTGTACACATGAGATTGTTGCTGACCATTTTCCAAATTATAGTGAAAATTTTTACATTCAATTTTTGTCTTCCAGAAAGTTATTGGTCCAAATTAATTTCAGTACGATATGGATAAACAATGTGCAGGGACTTTTAACTTACTGAGAAAATAACAGTGAATATTTAATAGCAATAGTTTTTCAAGTGTCTCAAAAACAATACAGACATACTTTACATTTAATGTGCATTGCAAGAGTTACTGGTCACTGTAATTATTCCTCCTGTCTGTACAGGCAGTGAAGAGATCCCTTTTTAACATGATTTCAATGAGAGTTAATAGGGAAAAAATCTACAGACCTTGTTCTGTGCAAAAATATATTCTTAAGTCCAGCTGAAGCTAATAAAAAGTTTCAGAGGTCTGAGTGGGACTCATTAAGTTGGTATCTTCCAAAGTTACAGGCTTTATAGTACAAAATACCGTCTTTGTGTTAGTATATAGAGGTAATTGATTACCTATCTTACATATCTCATAAACACACTAAAATGTATGGAAGCCGGTGGCTGCCTTTAAAGTTGGCACTCAATTTATATCGTTGTTGTATGCTCTAGAAAATGGCTGGCAATGAGTTAAAAGTATACACACTTGATAGTAAGTGAGCTAACATATTCTAAACAAACACAATGATTCTCTAACAAGATCATGTCAAAACCCAGTATGTGGCTGGACCGTGTCATAGACTATTTACATTCTGCCGAGTGTCAGTCCTTTTCAGCCTTTTATATCGGTTTACTTCTCACCCACTCTCTGTCACCTGCACTAAGTACACTAAGTTGGCAACATTTCAGGCTGTAAACACCCTGCTGTTGCGGTCCAGCCAAAAATATGTAAAAAACAAACAAAAAAATAAACAGACAAAACAACAAAAAAAACATGACTTTACAGAAAAACACCAGGGTTGGCATTCAACAATCTCCTCAGTAGGATGAAAGTATTTAAAGAATAAAAAACAAGACACATTCCATCGCTGTCTATCAACATTCACTGAAACAGCTGTCACAATCACAGTAGGATTTGGTTAAAACATTCACAGTTCTCTACTGGCACATAATCATGTGAATGTGGTCACAGCAGTGAACTAGTCAGACTTACTGTCCACTGACCAGGAAGTAGCTCTGATCTCATTAGTATTATTACCGAACACAGAAATGCAGCATTAGATCCTGAACGTCAGAAGGTTAAGGCTGCTCTCCCCTTGTGAGAATCACATCTGATTGTTTTACAATCTATTCACATAAAAACTCTGTTCTAGCAATCTTTGGTTACATTAGTGCATAGATGTACTAACCAACACTTAAAAAAGGCACTTGCAATTATATCACTTACCGACATTGATCTTCTCCTTGTGTCCGCCATCTTAGGTAGTTTTTCCTGCGTTTCTTGCGCTGATAAAAGCCATACCGTGAGTTCTGAAGTGTGTATTCAGATCTGTTGCCTTTTCAAAATGTTTACCGCATACCTTACAGGCCAGTGTTCCCTCCTCTTCCTTCCCCTGAGCTATGGAGGGTTGAACGGAGGGTGATGCCGGTGCAGAACAATCCAGAGAACTCTTATCATCATGGTTCCTTCTATTACCAGGGGACGGTGCTGGGTGCATGCTGAGGGCTTGCTGGTTGTCAGTGAATGCATCTCTCACTTTGTGGGTGATGAAGCGATGGCGAGATAGGGAGGAGGTGGACGTGAAGCAGGCGCCGCACTGAAGACACTGCAGACCACAACCCTCTGTCCCTCCTCGTCTGTGCTGGCTGATGTGCTCCAGGAATGATGTCTGGTCGTCTGTGGTGAAGCCGCAGGGGGCACAGCGAAACCCAGAGTCAGGAAGCAAATATGGAGCAGGTACAGAGGAAGACGACCGCAACTTCTTCACAGGACTCATCCCATCTGTGGACTCATCATCGTGCTCCATCTTCACAGTTCCTTTGCGTCTCTGACGAGCCCCCAAACCACCGTCCTGTTCTGAGGAACAATCAGCCTCATCTCCGCCTCCCTGTTATACCAGAGGAAATGAAGATAATTGCTGTTAGTCACATCTTAGTAAAAAAGCTCTTCAAGTCTGACTTTTCTAAAAATAAATAAATACAAGGGAGGCTTACCATCAGTGTGTCCTTGCTCACAGTTTCCATGTTGTGTCTCAGCTGAACATGCCTCTCCAACATCGCTCTGCTGCTGAACGTTTTCTTACCCTCAGCACAAAACCTACATAAGTGCACACACAAATTTACACAATGTGAACATCAGATTTAAGTGTGTCTGACTGACCCGTGGCAGAATTATGTAGGAGGTAAAGGAGCAATCTGTTTTGGTTTCATGCAGTATGTGGTATACTCACTGGCAGCGGAAGCAACGGTTCATGACTTTGTGTTTGTCTCTGATGTGACGTCGCAGACTGGAAGTTGTGGTGAAGGAGCTCTCACATTTGTTACAAGGAAACTTCTTCAGAATCTACACAACATGAGCACATACACGTCTATGAATACATGTAACAATTTACAGATGCATCTGAAAACAAAATGAATTCATTCAAATTACCTTGCTATGCTGTTCAGCCATATGGGTAATGTAGTCTTCGCGGTCTGTGTAGCGTACGTGGCAAGGCGCACACTTCCACCCTGAGGGGGTCTTCATCCTCTCTGTCTTCACTTTCTCTTCTTTGTCTTTATCCATCCACTCGTCCCCATCTGAGTTCTCCAACTTCACTGAAGGCCGTGGATGAGAGGAAACAGCTGGAGGTGAAGGCAACTCTTGTTTTAACATGGAAGTCTTGTGGGTCTGAAGAACAGAGGGAACAGGGTAAAAAAAATAGTACATCAATTGTAAGACTGACTTTTTCTTGCCTAAACACTTAATTAGGTATTTAGACCAAGTACATTAACACAGATATACCTTGAAATGCTCCAGTAGGGAATTCCTCTGAGAAAACAGCTTGGTGCACTCAGGACATTTAAAGACATGCACCTTTTGATTGGTTAAATGAGTGTCAAAGTGGACATACAACAGGGGCTTGTGGGTAAAAACAGTGTCACACATGACACATTTATAGATCAGCCTGCAAAGGAATAGGAGAGAATTTTATTTTCACATGAAAAGATGCAGCTTCAAATCTGTATCTGTGTGTGTCTTTGAGTGCATGCAGTACATCGTTTGTCCTTCAGTGACTGTTGGATGTTGGGCAGCGATGTGGTTCTGTATGCTGGGGGCAGATTTGAAAGCCATGGGGCAGCTGGGGCATTTGTGGAACATATCACAATGAGCCTGCTGAATATGAGACTTCACAGAATTCAGCCCTCCAAACACTACCAGACAACTGGAACAT